GACGTATTGCCTGCTGATGTTTCATTGTAGGCCCCTCTGAAATAACTGAATTCTGTCTGTATCCTTAAATATTTAAATGAAACTGGCATTCTTCTATGCAATCTTAGCAAAGTGACCTCAGGTTGATGTGAGTCAGATCGATATTGGTATTTTTATAACCCCAGCATAGGCAGTGCCTGTATTGATCGTTGTAAGTAGCAGTGAGCTTTGGGGAACTGCTAACCAAGATGATGTTGGCTCTATTTCAGAGAAAGAATTATGCAACTCAGCGATAAGTCAGCTAACTAAATTCTTAGGAAGAAAGCTATTTGGCTTCTAGGCCTCTCTATGGAATGGGCCCAGGGTTCAGGGGTGGAGGTGGAGAAGTCCCAGCTCTCTTAGTGCTGAGATGCTGTCTCTGGTATAGACTTCTGCTGAGTGAGCACAAGACCTTATCCAGCTCAATTGCCAAGGAGTCAGAAAGAGGGTTAATTGGGCTCTCATCCTAGGAAGTCTCACTCGTGGGAAGCAGGAACATCTCCTCGTATATCACACAGCTTTAGTGTTAATCTGCAGAAGAGGAAGGAAGGAAAGGGGTAGGAGGCAGTTCTTTGTGGAAACTGAAGATAATAGAATATGCCTTCTGTATCATTTCTGTCTTAGGCAATAATGTTTCTCACAACAATATATGTCATTGCAAAACATTTTTCTTTGTTATAGAGCTTTTATTTTTTCCAAATATGTGAGCAAGATTTCAGGTATTCAAGAGGACCCCAGAAGTTAACCTGTTTAACTCACCAGTTCTAGCCCAGCACAGTGCATAGTATAGGTGGATGATTAAGAAGTCTGCCTTAATGACGATTACACATAAAATGCCATTTGTATTTATTTCTAATTCCATGTATGGTAGAATTATTCCTTCATGTCAATGATTCTCACTACCTGAGGCTGATCTGCTGTTATAGAGGATAGACACTAATGCACAAAAGATTGTCTATAACTGGTTATCCAGTGCATACTACATAACCATTTTTAATGTGGTCACATTAATTTGACCACTCTGAAGACCAACGTCCATGTATTACTTTAACGTGATTTTTTATGATTAAGATCTTCTAAAATCAATTTGATGAGTTATAGAAAGATAAGATATGAATTTTCCTTGTGTGAAACACAGCTCTCACTAATGATACTGGCATTAGCCATTCTTTGAGTCTTTCTTATTCTTCAGGAAGGCTTTGAGGTGCAATAAATGCTCATCCACAGTTTCAGATGATATTTAAAAGGACATCTTTTAGATATAGAAAAAATGGAGTTTTTTCAGGAATCAGTAATTAGCATATTTTCACTACCAAATATTTGTAAAAGTCAAGTTCACCCTGCCAGAAAATCCCACCTAATGAAAATTGAATAGCTGATACAGAAATACTAATTTAGGAACATAGGTATGATTATTTCTAAGACATTTTAAAAATCTGTGGCTCATTATACTTATTAAATGAACTTCCTTTCTCAGCTGGCTCTAAAATATGATTACCTGTGGCTCTTACCTTATACATATTTGCTAGACTCTTGTTGTGTTTGTTTTTTAAAAAATAGCAATTCCCAATAATAAATGATTTGTATTCCAAGTCATTTGCAAATTAGCTGTTTGAAAGTTGGAACATACATTCACATTATAAAAATATTGCATGTGTAACTAATAACTCACAAAACCTGCTTAACCTATTGTATAGTGATACTATCATAGAATCTCTATGAAAAATAGTTATTCATTTTTTATTTAAATATCTATTTTGTTCTAATGGTACAATATCTACCTCACATTGCTCATATTCTACTCTTTCTTTTTTTTTTTTTTTGAGACAGAGTCTCGCTTTGTTGCCCAGGCTAGAGTGAGTGCCGTGGCGTCAGCCTAGCTCACAGCAACCTCAAACTCCTGGGCTCAAGGGATCCTCCTGCCTCAGCCTCCCAAGTAGCTGGGACTACAGGCATGTGCCACCATGCCTGGCTAATTTTTTGTATATATTAGTTGGCCAATTAATTTCTTTCTATTTATAGTAGAGACGGGGTCTCGCTCTTGCTCAGGCTGGTTTCGAACTCCTGACCTCGAGCAATCCGCCCGCCTCGGCCTCCCAGAGAGCTAGGATTACAGGCGTGAGCCACCGCGCCCGGCCATATTCTACTCTTTCTAAAGCAGATTGTCTCTCTTTCCCAAACCTTTCTCCCTATCCCTGCCCTCACCCAACTACAATATTTTTCATTCCTTAATCTACTTGGAGACCAAACTCATTATCAGAATCTCTCCCTACCTTACTATTTACAAAAAGCACACGCCCTTTTTAATTTTTTCTAAGGTTTTTCCACTTCTGTAAAACAAAACATGGAGGATAACCAAAAAATTTATGAAGTCTTAGGTATGTGTTTCATTTGTAAACTGAAAGGAAATCATAGTGCTGTGTGTCACTCAGAATACTCCTGATGCATCTAGGAAAAGTGGTGGGTTTGAGGGGGCACTCAAAGACTGAAATGAGATCCACTCACACACACTTGGTTAGGGCTTTAGATGTCTTCCTTTCTGACAGTAACTCTACAGCAATTTTGAAAATAGGACTGGTCGTCTAGAAGCAGGTTTCTGAATAAAGAAGGAGGGCGGAGACAGGCCAGGCCAGTGACAGTCCCTTGCTCCTGGGATGAAAGGAGAACGGCTCCATTTTTCCCTGCTTCCACTTAGTAATTGTTAGCTACTTTTTTCTTCCTTCTAGGAGGAGCTATTTGTGTGGTTTACCGGCTCAGTCTCCCTCACTTCTCCCACTACTCTAGCTACCAACCCCCACATGGAGGTTGTAAAGTAAGAAATGGTCACACAAAATGCATTCCAGGCCGGAGGAGGCTGAGGCAGGTGGATAGCTCAAAGTCAGGAGTTCAAAACCAGCCTGAGCAAGAGTGAGACCCTGTTTCTACTAAAAATAGAAACAAATTAATTGGCCAACTATAAAAATATATAGACAGAATTAGCTGGGCATGGTGGCGCATGCCTGTAGTCCCAGCTGCTCGGGAGGCTGAGGCAGTAGGATTGAGGTTGCTGTGAGCTAGACTAATGCCATGGCACTCTAACCTGGGCAACAGAGTGAGACTCTGTCTTAAAAAAAAAAAAAAAAATGCATTTCAAAAGCATTGAGAAGAGTCCATTTATCAGCTTAGTGTTGGCTTGGCGCTTTGTGACCCCGAAGTGCCTATAGCTTACGCAGATTTAGAATTTGTAATTGGATTCTCTTGTTTGAAATGGATATAGTATATTTTAAATGAATACACTTACTGGACAGTAAGCATGGAACTTGAAGTCCATGGACCCAATAGCCATGAGTGCTCATTTGTGGGCCACTCAGGCTGCCTTGTAAAGAGCCTTTCCTAGTGGCCTGCTATTGGTTGCCAGGTTGTGACACCTGCCACACAGTCGTCTTTGTGCTTTTGAGAGTTGGCAGAACTTGTAAAACCACTCTCTCGTTTTTTTGGTGTTTTTCAGGTTGGGATCCTGTCCCTTAGTTCGTTTTGTTTTCATTTGTTACTACATTTGGATATTCAATAGGTTCCAAAATTTGAGATCTCCTTTGTGAATGTATTGAATGTAGCAAACTGAAGAGATTGAACAGCTTGAATAAGATGCCATGTCTAGTAAAAAGATGATTTTTAAAAAAGAAAAAGACCAGAACACGCTTTAAATCTCCCCTTTTCTTTCCTACATAAGGCTAAAGGAATGCTTTGTGATTTAAAACCCTTTTTCCTGGCCTGATATTGAATCTCTGGTTGTTACTCTGAGCATATCAAAGTCCTTGTTTGGTCACATTTCTTTGTACTCCAGAATAATAGTCTTAATTATTTAGAAGATTTGAATGTATTTTCAGACCACAGATTGTATAGCTGTGAAAGTCTCTAGTGGTTTGAGTTCTAATGCAGCATCTGTGCAGAGCCTGCATGGTGGCAGTCCGTGCTGTCTGTTGCTGTGGGCATCGTGGGCCGCCTCCACCAGTGTCTCACCACCTCAGGTATCACCGGATCAGGGGATGGAGCAGCTTCAGCATTCTGCTCTTCTTGGTACTCCCTGGCTTAACAGCCTCCCAATTCTGGCTTTGAAGGAGGCATAAAGGTGGCCAGGAAGTGTTTTTCCATGCTTTTGCTTCACTCCTCCATTTCCTGTGCAGAGAAGGTGCCAGAGAAGCACTTTGATTCCAGCCAGCCCATGATGCCTTCCTGTCAGAGGTGGCAGAAGCCGCAGCTGGAACTGATGAAGGTTTGGCCTGCAAAACTGAGAGGGGAAGAAATGGTAAATGTATCCACATGGAACAAATCTTTCTTTTAAACTTCTGATTTAGTCCTAATAGTGTGTCTTCTTTCAGGTTCCATTCCTGCTTTTGTTCATTGTTGTGCTATTCCAGGAAAGCAAAGCCTCCTTGGCAGGAGTTGCCTTTTCCAGTTGAGTTCAGACTGGCAGAAGCAGAGAGGCCTAAAATGCAAGGGAGTAATATACCACCTCTGGGAGCAAGGGATCAGGTGCAGGTGTGATATAGGAAGGCAAATAATCCTCAATCAGGGCTGTGGTCTCACACAACAATGAAGATTTAACAGAGAACTTAAAGAGAAGACGAATCCAGAGTATTTACAGTAGCCACATATTGGAAATGATAAAACGAGGTGCAATTAAAAGAGGAACTTGAACAGTAGGCTAAGTAAGATAGATTACCAAATGAGAAAAGGAAGAGCAAATAGCATGGTATGCTGAATAAATAGAAAGTAAATACATATATGTACATAGGATTTTTTTTCACAGATAAAGGAAGAAGGCAGAGGCTTTCACTTTTCATTTTATAGCTTTTTATACTATGTGAATTTTCTAACCACATGATAGATGGTTTATTTTTTAAGATAAAAAGAATAAATGGGTTATCTGGGTGATAGAATTATGGGCCTTTAAAATTCTTCATGTTTCTATAATCTAATAAATTTTTAAAAATAAAATTAAGCTAAATCAATTGAAAATTTTACTTTCTTTTTATGAGCAAGTGGCAATTAATGCTTGTCTACTATTAAGGAATTGTTTATAGAATAGTTGATAGAGAAGGTAATTTAGTCCTGTAGCCAACCTGTGAGTTGCAGTTAATGTAGGGCCTTAGGATACTATCTGAGAAGGAGGAAAATCATGGCTTGGGAATTATCAAGAACTATTCTAGATGACTGGGTTTGATCTGGGAACCCTTCACATTCTTTTCAGAGTTCCACTGGCTTCTAAGGTGTTTGAATTCCTATGGAACTGATTTCTGTTAGAGATGTTATTAAAACGCTGATACAGCATCTTTCACTCGTTTTTAATCTCCCGACTTTGCTCCTCCTGCTATTTTCAAAACTAAAGCTTATATGGTTTAATATAATGAACCAGCACCTGTTTTGTTCTCTGACTTCTGAAAGAAATTAGAATATGTAGGATTTATGATGTACCAAACGAAGGAGGCGCTGAAATAGGAAATGTGTACAGAATCCCTCAGTGTGTCAAAGCTGCTTGTGAATGCCTTGAATGAAAAGCCATTGTCCAAGACACAGTATATGAAATATTTTCAAAGCTAACTACCAGCTAGCTTTGTGAGCATTGTTTTTGCCTTCTAATTCATGTGCTCTCTGTCACAGCCTTTTATTATTTCATTCCTTCCCCCTTTAGACACATACTCAAGGATCAATTCTTCTACCTTTTTTGAATCTCACCTCCAAAGCCTGTTCAGAGCCTCTCCTCCAGCCATCAGTGATGTCTGACTGGGAGTGAGAGTTGATTGTTGAGGAATTGAGGAAGTGGAAGCTGTAAGTGTGGGCTGGGGCCAAATTTGAAAGACATTTGTAAAGCTAAGATGTGTGGACTTCGTTCTTTAGTCAATGGCATCTCTGTATCAGTTTAGGGATTACTTTCAATTGTGAGTACAGAATCCCCCAAAACAAAGATTTAAACAAATTAGGAGTTTTCATTTTTTTCTTACCTATAGGAGACATGGAGGTGAACAGTTTCTGGTACTAGTGCAGCAGCTGTAAGATGTGAGGGCCCAGGTCTCTGTGTTCCTTTTGCCTTTCCCTTAGGACAGCCTCCTGGTTACCAGATGGATGCTCTGCCTGGAGCATCACATCCACATCCAAGCTAGGAAGAAAAGGAGGGTGATCAGGTTATGCCACCTGAGTCTGCTGTGCCTTAAGGATCATTCCCACAAACCCCACCTAACCACTTCAGTCTTTAACTATTGCCCAGATCTGTGTCCCATGGCCAACCAGAGTTCTTTTCGTGAAAAAGCATCAGAGAATGGGTATTTACTGGGTAACCAGCATGGAATGACACAGCTCCTTCCCTTTGCAAACTTGTAGTATAAATTTCCAAGACACAATTGGTGCCTCAAGCATTCCCCCTTCCTCACCACCCTCCACTCCCCTTTTTCTAAACTATGGAGCATATTTTTGGTCTTGCCTTTCATGAAGACTATCAGTATTTTAGAACTTTTGGAAACATATATTCTGAAAACGTTATAAGAATAAAATCAAATTTGCTAAATAACATGGGGCAGTCTGGAATATAGTAAAAGTCAGAGAAAGAAATGTGATGGGGGTCGGTATAGCTAAAAAAGATTCATGAGAAAGAGACTTGAGCTGGACTATGATAAATGAATTGAATCCTGTATGTTAGTATAATGGTAGATACATGTCATTATACATATATGAAAGCCAATACAAAGTATAACACCAGGAGTGAACTCTAACGTAAGATTGGATGTAAATAGTTGGAGAGATAGTGAGGCTGGTATTCCAATAGGAGGAAAAAAGAACAATGTCACAGATGTAGAAATGACTGTGGCACAGGGCAGCATGGTGAGAATGGACTGGTGCATAATTTTAAACAAGGTTTAAGTTAAATGTTTAGTGGTTACTGGAAATGAATTGGGACAAACCTAACATTTCGCTATTTACCACTCATTCCTATTATACAACACTTTACATAAGAAAGTTTAAAGTATTTTATTAATAGCATTATTTTCTACAAAAGAGGAATGATTAGAGATTTTGCAGCAGTGCATATATGTATTTATTTCACTGATTAAAACCCAGTTGATTTATAGGATTAAAATTACATTCACATTTTTTTTGCAAAACCAATACTTAAAACGTAAGGATCCACTCACTTAAAACTTAAGTGAGTCCACTCTTTTGGGGGAATTATTTCTAAGAACTGTATATTTTCTAAGAATTTAATTTGCATTTAAGTAAGAAAGATTTTCTGGCCAGGCACAGTGGCTTGTATCTGTAATCTCAGCACTTTGGGAGGCCAAAAGGCAGAAGGATTGCCAGCGTGGACAACATAGCAAGACCCCATCTCTAGAAAAAATAAAAACTAACCAGGCATGGTGGCACATGCCTGTAGTCTCAGCTATTTGGGAGGCTGAGGCGGGGGATCACTTGAGCCCCAGAGTTTGAGGTTGCAGTGAGCTATGATGATGACACTGCACTCCAGCCTGGACAACAGAGCAAGACCTTGTCTCAAAAAAAAAAAAGGAAAGAAAGAAAAAAACCTTTTCTATTTTGTGGCCAGTAAGCCAGTAGTAATCATTTTGTAAAATTAGCCATTTTAGTTTTGCTTAAAGTAAATTATGACCCTCCTAAAAGTAAAAACAACCTGTTTGAGTTGGTTATTTTAATTAAGCAAAGTATAATAAAGTTGAGTTCTAATTATTTTACTTTTCCAAGTTATTTAAATAGTTCCTTCTAATTACACATTGAGTTTAATTGAACTGGGTCTAATTTGATAAAGTCCATATCCATCTGTTAAAATTTAGACAGGTGACTGCAGTCTCTGATTTACCATTTCTCAATGTAACAGAAAAACTTTAATATGGTTAGACTTTCTCCCCTCTTTTGTTTACTTTGCCCTTTACTTGCTCATAAATATTATGCATGTCGTGGGACAGGGGTAATTTGTATAGTAGCCAGCATTGTGACTGTGATAAGTCACCAGGAGAGCAAGTCACCAGTGGGATGAAAAGGTTTACCTTTTAATCTGCTTTATATTGATGCAGGTGAAAAACACAGCATTTTCTATTTTTAGTCTTGCCATCTGGCTGAAGGAAGGTTTTTGATTTATTTATGTTTTAGATAAAAGCCTTTTTGGTTGAATTTTAAAGTGTGCAATATTTATTCCTGTCAGCTAAATGTGTCGGAAGGAGTTTGTAACAGGAATCAAAGAGCTGCTTTTAGTGGTAAACAAAACAGCTTAGCAGGTGATTCCGTATAGTTTCCACAAAATATATGGGACGAGTGCTTTTCTGAAATATACTTTTTCCTCTCGTTCAGGTAAGGTGGGCATTTGGCCATTTAATAAATAGATTATCAAGAGAAATATATTAACTTGCTTTGGGAAAAGATTGGGGGTTTACAAATCCCTTAAAGCTGAGATGCTCATTTTGTAGCCTTTCCGACGTTGTCAGCACAGGCTGTAATGTTCACTTGCTTTTCCCTGTGCAGTGTAGACAGTACAGGCTGAGTATCCCTTATCCGGAATGCTTGGGACGAGAAGGATTTCAGATTTCAGATTTTTGGATTAGGGATACTCAACCTGTATTCTGTTGTATTTGGAGAATGTCAATCTAATTCCTGAGAATTATTCTGTAGGGGACAACATTGGGCCGACCATTCTATTATGTGGCGGCAAAAACATTCATTTATTTTGAGTCTTATTAATATAATGTTGAAACCATCCTAGAATAACATGAAATATTTTTTCTTTTTTCTGACATGAAGTGGATGTGACCTTGATCTGACAACTTTTTTTTGTCAACTCTTCTCTACAGTCTTAGCAGTCATCAAAAAATAAGACAAAATATATTCTTTTTCTTTTTAGTAATCATCTTGCCATTAATACTTTTTTTTTTTTTTTCTGAGCTTTTGGCACAATCTGCCACTCTCTACCCTTTTCTTGCTTCCCTTTGCAGGCATTTATTTAATGTCACCTATGTGCCAGGTAGTGGGCTAACCACTGGAAATATGGAGATTGTAAAGATGACAGACATGACCCCTGCCCTCAAGTTGCTCTGCCAAGTGAAAAATTATCATAGATCTGCACTTGGCCTCATGTCAGAGACTAAATGCCAGTGTTCCATTTACTCGGAGACTGTTTCTTTAAACTCAGAGTATCATGGCTATGATTAGATATCAGCTTTTTGGAGCAAACAGCCCACTCCTTATCATGTAGGAATATTTCAGTAACTTGTTTTGATAGAATTATCTTTTGTTGTTATTTATATGACATTTATATTTTCCCTGTCATGTGTAAGTTAACAAATAGATTTTTTTTTTTTTTAGAAAAAGTTATGGTTATGTCAATATGTGTATCATCTTATGTGTAGATCTTGACAGTTCAGTGCAACTACCTTAGCTTCTTTTTGGAAGTTGATACATTATAAATTATTAATAAACACCTACATGCCTCTGTTCCATTCCTCATTCCTTAGTGTCAGTTATAAACATAAAAGGTGATGTCTATGGTAGATTCTGTCCCCATCTGACATATAACTGTATACAGTGTTGACTGTATTTGTAAAATCAATGTCTTTGTGTTGGTTTTTTGTTGGTTTTTGAGACAGGCGCTCATTCTGTCACCAGGCTAGAGTACAGTGGCATCATCAGCTCACTGCATCCTCAAACTCCTGGGTTCAAACTCCTCCCACCTTAGACTCCTGAGTAGCTGGGACCACAGGTGCACACCACTACGCGTGGCCTAATTTTTAGTTTTTTATAGATACTGGTTCTTGCTCAGGCTGATCTTGAACTCCTGACCTCAAGTAATCCTCCTGCTTCAGTCTCTCAGAGTGCTAGGATTACAGGCATGAGCCACGGTGCTTGGCCTTTGTTGGGTTTGTACTACCTCAATACTGAGCCCATTTCTTGGTCTTTTAGTTGGATATCATTTTCCTTCACTGTCATACATTTAAAAATTTTTTTCCACTGTGAAAAGATGATGAAATCAGAAAGCGACCTTCAGTCTGTTAATTCTGAACAAACTCCCCCCAAATTTTAAAGCTTCCACTCCTTATTGCCATCCTCTACTGTCATCTACTGCAGCTACCAAATCATAACTTTTTGTCCTATATGGAGTACATGAAATGCAAAGGAAAAATAAATCTTTTTTTAAACAAGTAATTTACATAGCAGGAAAAATAAATCTTAATTGAGTTGTTTCTGTCAACAGAATAAGGAGGATTCTGTATATGACTCAAATATCCATTGTTATCAAATGGTCCTATTTAGTTGCATTTGCTTTTGCAACAAGAAGTGAGCAATAGAGTGTTGAATAAATGGTTCATTGTTCTTGTTGATGTGTCAAAATGTCAGATTAAATGTGGCTGGATGTTACACCATACCATGAAATGGGTTTATTCTGGTGTAGAAGAGTAAATTAGAGTCTGCTATTTTTAGCATCTACAGTTACTTAAATTGCCCTGGCACAATACCTGTAAGCTTGCATAGCAGAATGGCTGCTTCCTCATCTTCTGATGATCTACAAAATATTAATAACACCAATCAATTTCTGCTCGTATTTTATCTTCGTGATCTGCCTACAGAATGGCCTTCAGAAACACACCCTACCTGTTTCCCAGCAGGCACATTCCCTCCCCTATCTGCTGCTTATCCTCCTCGGAGTTTGTGGCTGGAGTCCTGTATCTGGTGGCTGGTCCTTGTATGGTGCTACCTGAGTTGCCCTTGGCCCCTTTTAGGGAGACCACACTGATCCACTCTTCCCCCTGCTTCTCCTTTGTTCAGCTGTAGACGTA